GCCCTCACTAGCCAAGAGTGCCCCACTAGCCATACCCTGCCTGTCAACGAAACATGCTATTAGCCAACAGAGAGCTCTCACTAGCCAAGGTAGTAGCCCACTAGCCAACACCACACTGGTCAATGAAGCATGCTACTTGTCAATAGAGAGCCCCCAATAGACAACAGAGTCCCCCACTAGTCAGGAAAGCATGCCACCAGCCACTGTAGAGCCCCACTAGCCAACAGTCACCCACTGGCTGATACAGCAATCCACTAGCCACCAAAGCAGCCTGCTTGCCAACATAGTGCCCCACTAGCCAACATAGCACCCTACTAGCCAAAGTAGCTCACCCTTAGCCAATGTAGCACTCACCAGCCAACAAATCATCCCATTAGCCAAAATAGAGCCCCACTAGCCAGTGAAGTACTTCACTAGCCAGCAAAGCACTCCACTAGCCAACACAGCACCTTTCTAGTCAAAGTAGCACCCGACTAGCTCATGAACTCCCCTGCCTCCAGCCAGGGTAGCGCCCCACTAGCCAACATAGTGGGCTAGCACTGGACTAGCCAATACAGCAGGCCACTAACCATCCCCATCTCTTTGCCCTGGCCATCCCAGCATCCCACCAGCCCATGACTGGTCTCGTTAGCCCGTACATGGTCACTTCAGCTCATCCCCCCGCCCCCGATTACCCCTTGCACCCCTGTTCTCACCACCGAGCCACATTGGTCCATCTGAGACGGAGAGGGGGAACCCACCGGGCTACCTCCCGCCACCCCAAGGCTACTTACAGTAGACAGTGAGGACGATGGTGGCCTGGGTGCGGGTCTGGAGGTGGGGGTTCTCGGCCAGGCAGGTGTAGGTGCCCGCCTGGGCGCGGGCGATGGCGGCCAGGACATAGGTGGGGCCGGTGTGGACCTGGGACCCATTGTGCAGCCAGACGTAGCGGCTGGGGGGGTTGGAGGGAGCCAGGCAGGTCAGCACCACGTCCTCCCGCTCGCCCGCTGAGAAGCTCCCAGCTTCAGGGGAGAAGGGCTCCACGCTGATGGCCGGCTGGTCAGGGCCGTCTGGGGGGACACGGGGACCTTCAGGCAACTGGAGTGTCCCCATGGAGGGGATGCGTCCCTCCCCACGTGCTTGGTGGCCCATGGAAGCGCCATGGATGTGCCACACTGCTTGGTGGCCATGGATATGCCATGGTGCTTGGTGGCCACGGAGGCACTGTGGTGGCACAGCCCATGGTGGCTGTGGAGGTGACATGGTGCCTGGTGGCCATGGACACACCACAGCGGGTGCTTGGTGGCCATGGAGAGGCCATGCTGGCTATGATGGTGCCATGGTAGCAAGGTGCTTGGTGGCCATGGACACACCTTGGTGGCACGGCACATGGTGGCCATGAAGGCTTCATGGTGGCAGGGTGCTTGGTGGCCATGGGTACATCATGGTGGCCATGGAGGCATCACAATGGCAGGGCCCGTGGTGCCCATGGATGTACCATGGTGGCAAGGTGCTCGGTAGCCACGGCCATGCCATGGTGGCATCTCCAGCCCTGAGGAAGTCCTGACAGCCAGTGCCTGAGCCCCCACCTTGGCTCAGCCCCCCCCTTCCCCGGGGGCAAGCGGGGCACTCACAGACAATGTCCAGGTAGACAGGCTCGCTGGTGCGGTTGTTGACCTCGTTGCCCACGGTACAGATGTACCAGCCAGTGTGGCTACGGTTGGCGGGCGTCAGGTGCAGCTCTGCCCCGGTCCCCCCCAGCCGCTCGGGGGACACTGAGGGACCCCCCCGGGGCTGCTGGTGCTGCCAGGAGAAGCTCCGCGGCTCCGTCCCCTCCCGCACGGCGCAGGTCAGGGCCACTGTAGCCCCCTCGGCCACCGCCGCCGCCGTCGGCCGCACAAAGGGCTTGGAGACAGGCACTGGGGGCACCAAGCCGTGAGCAGCCCCCCAAAGCTGCCAGCCCCTTCCCCCCAGGCCTGCTGGGAGCCCCCACACCCCTCCTGTCCCACCCCGGGGTGATCTTGCTAGCCCTGATGGCTAGTGAGGGGGAGCTAGAGCAGGAGGGCTAGTGAGAACATCTACGGGCTAGTGAGGGGGTGTCCCGGCTATGGGCGTGGGGATGAGCTGAAGTGACCATGTACGGGCTAACGAGACCAGTCATGGGCTGGTGGGATGCTGGGATGGCCAGGGCAAAGAGATGGGGATGGTTAGTGGCCTGCTGTATTGGCTAGTCCAGTGCTAGCCCACTATGTTGGCTAGTGGGGCGCTACCCTGGCTGGAGGCAGGGGAGTTCATGAGCTAGTCGGGTGCTACTTTGACTAGAAAGGTGCTGTGTTGGCTAGTGGAGTGCTTTGCTGGCTAGTGAAGTACTTCACTGGCTAGTGGGGCTCTATTTTGGCTAATGGGATGATTTGTTGGCTGGTGAGTGCTACATTGGCTAAGGGTGAGCTACTTTGGCTAGTAGGGTGCTATGTTGGCTAGTGGGGCACTATGTTGGCAAGCAGGCTGCTTTGGTGGCTAGTGGATTGCTGTATCAGCCAGTGGGTGACTGTTGGCTAGTGGGGCTCTACAGTGGCTGGTGGCATGCTTTCCTGACTAGTGGGGGACTCTGTTGTCTATTGGGGGCTCTCTATTGACAAGTAGCATGCTTCATTGACCAGTGTGGTGTTGGCTAGTGGGCTACTACCTTGGCTAGTGAGAGCTCTCTGTTGGCTAATAGCATGTTTCGTTGACAGGCAGGGTATGGCTAGTGGGGCACTCTTGGCTAGTGAGGGCTTTCTGTTGGCTAGTGGGACCCTCTCTTGGCTAGTAAGGGCTCTCCGTTGGTTACTGGGGGCTCACTGTTGGCTAGTAGCATTGCTTCATTGACAGGCGGGGTATTGTCTAGGGGGCTACTACCTTGGCTAGTGGGGCTCTACACTGACTAGTGGGGCCCTTTACTGGCTAGCGGGTTCCTCCATCTGCCTGTAACATGCTCCACCGGCCAGCGGATGAGACTATTGGCTACCGGGCAAGGGGAATGCGATGCTGGCCTGCCAGCCGCTCCATGGCTAGCAGGATCCCAGGGGAGGCAACCGGGCAGCAGCTTACCCAGGACTCGCAGGAGGACAGCGGCGTAGCCGACGTGGAGCCGCCCTCGCTCGGGGAAGAGCCCTTGGCAGAGGAACCGGCCCTG